TGATAGCTGGTCGGAATCGTTCCTGCATGTCACAGAGGAAGAAAGCGGCGGTTTCAGTGCTCAAGTTGCCTAAAACTCGTGTGGCAGCCATGTTTGCAGCTAGCCAGGTATGTTGAAGCGACCTCTGACGACGATTATTTAACCTGCAGAAAGTGGGGATTCCCCTCTCTCATTTCCAACCAGCGTTCATTCTTTGGACATGCACCTTTCACGTGTTCAGTCTGCTGCATGACTTCAGCCGTCTCAGTCGTAGACGTGACCAATCAGGTATCATCGAATAGACACTGGCCAACCAGGGATTGTAAAAAAAGACGCAGCCATGTTATGAAATCATGCGTTTCTTTGTTGTGTATAGTCATATGACTGGCGGGAAAGAACCGCGTGTAGCTGTTATGATTGACACAAGCGAGAGCTTTCCAGCGAGAAGCAAGCAGTGCAGTGACATGTAGTGACATAGAACACTGTACGCTGTACACTAAACACTTGTAGTTATTATATAGCGTTACAGTGTACAGCGAGAAGAACCCAAACGAAGAGCGTGGTGTTCACGTCACGATTGCTGAAGAAATCGCAAGGACAGACGTACACGGCTTGAAAGAGGTAAGTAAGAGTAGGCATTGTTGTTGTGTCAAACAGGTGAAACTACAGTAACGTTACGGTTGGTAAGTTATTATGAATTGCCGTGTCTCTGTAAGCCCCAATCTTCAATATCGTAAATAGAAACTGTTGTAGATCAATAATCCTATTGCAAAACCCATAACGTCATAGGCGATGGCCAGGTCACCGTGTGCCTCAGGGCAGCGCTTCCACGGCGAAGCTGGTGGGAAAGGGGCGGAGGCACTATATATACTAGTGTAAATAGCCTAGTATCTAAATGTATTAGGACTAGTCGACTGCGCGACTCTACTCTACTCTACTCTATACCCGCGCTATCTGTAATGTCGTGAGGGGAAGGAAAGGGGTGTTTTTTTGAGGTTTTTGGTTACTGTCGGTTTTTGTTTTGTTTTGATCACCTGACCAGCAGGTAGGCTCGCGGCGCGGGGTGACGTTAGCCTCTACCAGGCTTGAGGGCACGGCTGGAATTATAGTAGAAATCGGCCCGAAATAGAGAGATAACACGCCGAGGGAGTTTAGCCATCCAGTTTACAGTGGGCCGGCAAACTGTAAACTG